TGAGGGTTCACTGTACTGCAACAGGTAGAGGTGTGTGTTAATGTGTCAGAGGATACTCTTTAGGGTCCACCTAATCTACAGCAAAATTCTGTTTTTCCATTTCGCAAGACATTTCTTCCTCACACTGCTGTCATTATACAGTGGTGGAATGTGTACATCTCTCACAATTTTACTCCTTGACTTTCCTAAGTGATCTATGGTCCATAGCCTTCCCATGCTCTCACAATGGTGAAATCCCCATTTACTGTTTCCCATTACGGTACATGAAAAATAAGAAGCCTTACACCACTTACTTTTATAATACCCATAGTACTATACTATATGCTATTTCTTGATCCTCCCCAAATTAAGCAAATTAAACTATTCTTTAACCAAGTAGTAAAAGGTAAGTACAGTACGTATTTATTGGCAAAATACAGTATATTACATTAATTTACTGTACTTTGTCAGCTATGGAACATACAATATACAATATCTATTCCATTAATCTACTACAGTACAGTAATATGTATACTGGAGTGAATGTTTCTGTCATTCTATGTGTAGATAAGGTTCCGAGTTTATGTTCTACCCAAATCACAGTGACTGTTTCATTTGTTATAAATAAAAGATTCACTGTTATAAGTTAAAATGACTTTGTTCAACACAGTCTTATTCCTAATGTCCTTTCATATCAACAAGTACTGTTCTAAGTTCAAAAAAAGATTGGTTTCAATGCTGAAGTTCTGTAAGTGACAGACACATGAACATTAAGTACAGGTGTAACAAGCAGTAAAGTATGGTGTACTAAGAGGCTAAGGCCACAATAACTGCGGAGAATACAAGCCTGAATGTCGTCATCAATGGGACTCTTCATGCAGGGATCATCTCTTCTACAATCTCAAGCCTATAAATATTTTCTTACCTCCTTCAAAATTCAAGGAGCATGTTCAAAGGAAAATTTTTGCAATGTTTTTAGAAAATCACTAAAAGTTCAGTCAGATGTAAAGCCTAAATAAATTTTAAATATAAATGAAAGATACAGTATTAATGAAACTGCAGGAAACACAACAAAGATGCATGAACTCAAACAAGAGATATTATTGGTGAAACTAAATGAGAATCACCTAAGTTTTCTTATGTGTTTCATGACTACTATATTTCTTATCTAAAACCCACACCACTTGCTCATTATCACCGTTACTTTGCCAAATACTTTTCCTACTGAAATTCTTCTCCACGCATGCACAAGCCTACGTCACGTGTGATCATCATTAAAATTTTTCACAACCTACAGCAGGACAACACATTTATTTTTCAAGAACTCCTACAAAATGACTCTGGTTGTATTGTTTCTTGCTAATAATACATACCTGTATTTAACTCATCCTCATGATATAGTACTAATAAAATATGACTGATCCAATACTATTACTGTACTGTATTTACATTCAGAGTGTGGCTGTTAAAGAGATAAATAGACAGATTAGTATTGAATAAGGAAAATAATGTCTGATGTTCAGGTAACTCAAAACAAAGAGGAGCAAAATAAAATACACTTTGTTAGATGATTTAGGATAATAAACAAAAAGGTCCATCAGGGCCGGATTCAGGAGTGGGCAAAGTGGGCAGCTGCCCAGGGGACTCCACAATCTGGGGGCCTCCACAAACTGTATTACAATATCTTATTTATTTGTTTATTCATTTGGATTATTTTTATTTTCATTCTTTAAAATTCATGTTATCTATTCCATCACGTAAAACTATGTTCAGCAAGAAGCGTGTGCGGTAGTAGCTATATCAGGGCTGGTCGACTTGAAACCACATGAATGAGTCCAGTCATGTCTCACGTTTGTGTGTGTGTTGGGAATTTGTACACTACTGTATCAATAAATATACAGTTAATTAAAAATTTCTCAATGTTCTAATTTCCTCAATATAACTGCATATGGCTTCAAAATTCTCCAAAGAAGTGTTCAAATTTCAAAATTTTCCCGGGGGGGCTTACAGCGACCCCCGGAACTCCCAGATGTTTAGGCTCGCTTCACTCGCCACCCCACCCTCTTGGGTAGTTATAATGAGGGGGGCCTCCACAAAGTGGCTGCCCATGGGCCTCCACAGGTCTAAATCCGGCACTAGGGTCCATACTGTATACAAGAACAGATTTCCATTTTAAAAATAAATTAATATGAGGCTCCACATTCGGGCATATTTCTGATCTACCGGTAGTTTCCCAAGCCATATTCTCCAGTCATATTTTTGAGACAGGTTTATGTCCACTTACTCCTGCTCCTCCTACTGAACCTATGCACTTTCCTATAATCTCCACTCGTAGGGTTGCTGGTGTGTTATTCAGGTTGGATGTGAGCAAGGTGCATGGACCAGAAAGAATACCCCCTCGTGTTCTGAGGGAGTGTGCTGAAATTCTCGCCCCCTGTGCTTGCTTGCCTCAAAACACAAACTTTTCCTTCTTCTTGGAAGCATGCCTTGGTTCAACCCATCCCGAAGAAGGGTGACCATTCCAATCCTTCTAACTATCTCCCCATTGCCCTAACTTCATCCTTCTCTAAGATTTTCAAAACTATCTTAAATGCCCATTTTCTGTCATCTTGAATGCTTCTCTCCTTTGTCAGAACACCAGTATGGCTTTTGCCAGGTGAGATCTATTTGTGATTTGCTCTCCTAATGCACCCATCTTTGGTCACCCTCTCTTAGGGATTATGGGGAAACTTTTATCATGGCCCTCAACATCTCCAAAGTAATTGACAGGATATGGCACAAGTCCTTGCTTTCTAAACTTCCCTCTTATGGTTTCACTCCCCCACTTTGTTCTCTAATTTCTAGCTTCCTTGAGAACCGATACATGGCAGCTGTTGTCGAGAGATCGATCTCTCGCTCTTTCTCTAGCAATAGTGGTGTCCCACAGGGTTCTGTTCTTTCAACTACTCTCTTCCTCTTTTTTAGCAAAGATTTTTTTTTTTTTAACGGGATTAGCCCACCAGGGCACAGGTCAATGACCCACATCAGGGCCTGGGGGTGAAAATATAATAATAATAATAATAATAATAATAATAATAATAATAATAATAATAATAATAATAATAATAATAATAATAATAATAGACCATAAATAAATAAAAAAAATTAAAAAATATATCAAAAGTGAGAAACGAACTATGTATGTTGTTTTGTCAAAGTAAGAGAAACAATTGAAACCCTGCAATTGTGTGTAAATGAGGCAGAAATTCAGATCAGCAACCTGAGACTTGGTCAAAATATTACTTCACACTACGAATAATTCTATCCATTCTTATGCTGATGATTCTATTTCTTCACATTTTCCCCTTCCCCCTAATTCTCAAACTAGATCTGTTTCTAGAGCTGATATCATTACTTCTATCAATGCAGATCTGTGAAGCATCTCCAAATGGGGAGGTAGAAACTTGTTTAAATTCAATCATAATAAAACTCAGAATTTACCAATTACACTTTCCAAATTAGATGATCTCCCACCAATCACATTTCAGGACGCAATCATTATGCTAAATTCTAAAATAGATATGCTAGGTCTCACCATTTCCTCTCATAAGTCATGGAAGCCACACATCCACAACATTGCTAAAGCCGCCTCCCAAAAGCTGGGAATGCTGGACAGATGCCATAACTACTTCACTCCTGAGCAGTTGCTTCAAGTTTATAAGGCATTCATTTGTCCTAACTTGGAGTACTGCTCTCATATCTGGGGTGGCTCTTTTTCTCTCCAACTGTTAGATAGGGTGGAATCAAAGGCATTTCGTCTTATTGACCCTCCTCCTTTGGTTGATAATCTTTCTTCCCTTTCTCTTCGCTGCAATGTTGCTTCACTCTCTCTCTCTTTTACAGGTACTTTAACGGGCAATGTTCGGTGGATTTGGCATCCTGTGTACCGCCGGCAAGGCCGTGGGCTTGTATGACTCGTCTTGCCTGCGGTGCCCGCCGTTTCTCTGTGGATGTCGGTCATGCTACAATAACCCATTATAGTACACCGTTCTTTCCTCACACAGCCAAATTGTGGAATTCTCTGCCTTCTTCTGTGTTTCCATACTCATACAATCTGTGTCACTTCAAAAAGTTGGTTTTCCAGCATCTTCGTGATGTAATTTAATCTTTTTCTTTTCTATTTTTAATTTAATCTTACTCTTTATTTTTCTTCCCCTAGGCCCCATTGTGGGTCGATGACCTGTGCCCGGGTGGGCTTTTCCCCGAAAAAAAAAAAAAAATTCACAGACACGGATTACAATGTGGGGAGGACTATTCTTTACTGACGATTCAAGGTCTGTTTTCTGGTAGCTATAAAAAACTGGGAAGGGGCAATATAGAATGCAGCCTCCTTGTTTTAGCACATTTCATGATATGCAAGAGTTAAGTGTTGAATTAGGAAGTGTGGATCTCATCTATGGGAAAATTAAGGCTTTCTTTTGTCAGTGTATAAGATGTGAGAGTGAGTAATATAATGTATGCACTTTATCTGAAACAAAGTGTTTATGCAAGTCAGCCATCCCAGATATAACTTTAAAGAAAGTTACTTATTGGTGTATATATGTTTTTTCTTTTCATCTTTAAGTATAAATGTATATAACTTCTCTCACTACTCAGGAAGACAATCAACTTTATAAGGTATGAGTTATATAATATACTGTACAGCATACTGTAACTGTTTTATTCTTTTTAGTTTACTTACAAAATCAATAAATTTCCAATTTTCTTATAATGTCTGCATAGAATTTGTTGGAAGCAAATTAAGGCTAGATAAACAAAGAGGAGGACTTCAATGACTTATCTGCTGCAACACTGGCTGAGGGATAACAACTTATCATTAAACAAAATAGCAAGGCAGAGAAAGATTGTCACACCATTTATAATAACATAAAATAATATCTTGTGCATGCGTAGAAGAATGCAGAGGTATATAAGGCAGAGAATATGAGCAGATCCCACGTGTATCCTAGGAGAGTATTGTCAAAAGTCTCATCTGTACTTACGTCCTGGGTCATCACAGAAATGCAAGTCGATCCTCTCCGAATAAAAGTGATAGGAAGTCTCTGGCACATCATACTTGTTAAAGGCCTTAGCAATGTTGGACTGGGGCGGTAGCGGACGACCTCCGCTGCTTCCTACATTGGCTCCCCGTTGCTGTCCAGAACTACCTCGAACTTGCTGTGCCTGCTGAGCCTGAAACTCTGGAAGAGACTGCAACAAGAAAAGAGAATTGTAAAGAACCTGGTCAACTACTGTACTCTGTAAAACAAAACTTGTCTCTAAAATTAAATTATGATTAGAATAGCTTGGTTAGATTGGTTAGATTCTTTCAAGAGGCAAGACGTGCTTCCCTCCCTCATCACACAAAAATGGTAAGATTTTAGGTAAATTAATTCAAACAAGTGACAAGGCACAGAAGCTATGGTGGTTTTTCAAAAGATTATCTGTACACGGAGTTGTAAAAAGTACTGGATTTTGTTACTTAAGTAAAAGTATTGTTACATTGGCAAAATAAAACTCAAGTAGAAGTAAAATTATCCCAAATTCAATGTACAGTTCTCAAGTAGAAATAAAAAAGTATCTCATTCATAAAGTACCTGTATTCAAGTACAGTGGTCCCTCAGTTAACGAGCGCCACGGTTAACGAGATACCTCCCATAAGATTCTTAACTTCGGTTAACGAGCAACCCCTCGGTTAACGAGTTTCTTACGAGCCAACCTCAACAAGCTTTGGCTTGCACTTGGCGGTCAACCAGCTTTAGTATGAGTCCGCCAATACATTAATTGGTTCTAGGGCTTAAATTCCTTACTATTTTAGTAAATATCAAGAAGTTTATACTATTCAATAATTTTAAAAGTCTAATATTAAATTTTTTAGTAATTTTAACAATTATTGAACATAATTGAAGGTAAAGTGACTAGTTTAATGCGCGGCATCCAGCCTCTTAACACAGCAAACAAGCGTTAGTCTCTCTCTGTTTTCACTGGAGGTAACATCTTGCTTGAGATTTTCATGAAGTAAACGCTTTTTTTCTGTGTTTCCAAGCAAATTATTGGTCATTTGGAAATATATTTTACATATATAGCGCAGTGCAGTGTTATTTTAAAGAAAATATTCTTTATTTACAACAAGTTTAACTTTAAAAAACACGTGTTGACATTGTTTGAATCCAACAAGAAAAGCGATTTCAATCCAAACCAAGCAGGAAATCATAAAAAAACATGAACAGGGCATTAGAACAAATGTGCTATGCAAAGAATATGGCATGTCGACATCAACTGTGTCAACAATTCTTGCACAGAAAGACAAATTTAAAGAAGTGAAAGTAAGAGACAAATCTACAAGAGTGTTTAAAAGTAGATCCCTAATTGCAGAAATTGAGAGGTTACTTATCATCTGGATTAGGGAAAAACAAATGAAAGGTGATTCAGTTTCTACTGAATTCATTTGTGAAAGAGCCAGGGAGATTTACGAACATTTAAAGACAGATCAACCTGGCTCATCAGGCACAGAATTTGAAGATTTTCGGGCCAGCAAAGGCTGGTTCGAAAAATTTAAGAAAAAAGTGACATTTTCAGTGTTGTTAGGCATGGTGAAGCTGCTAGTGCTGATAAGGAAGGGGCAGCAAAGTTTTTAGTTGAATTTAAAGAACTGATGGATGAAGAAAATTATCTTCCACAGCAAGTGTTCAATGTGGACGAAACTGGGCTGTTCTGGAAAAAGATGCCCAAAAGAACATTCATCATCAGAGATGAAGCCTCTTTACCTGGGCATAAACCCATGAAAGACCGTCTCACTCTATTGCTTGGTGCCAATGCTTCAGGGGATTTCCGACTGAAGCCTATGCTTGTCTACCACTCTGAAAACCCCAGGGTGTTCAAGCAACAGAAAGTGGTAAGAACAAAGCTTGGAGTTTATTGGAAGTCCAACCGTAAGGCATGGGTTACAAGACAGCTCTTTAATGAGTGAGCTGTTGATGTGTTTTGCCCTTCTGTCAAGAACTACCTAACCACCAATAAACTCCCTTTAAAGGCTCTTCTCCTTATGGATAATACTCCTGGTCATGACCCTGACCTTGCCAGAAATTTGGAGTATCAATTTGACTTTGTGAAAGTGTTGTTTTTGCCTCCAAACACTACATCAATCATACAGCCAATGGACCAGAATGTGATCAGCAACTTCAAGAAGTTGTACATGAAGAAAATGTTTAGGAGGTGTCATCAGGCAACTTCCAATGATCCTGAACTAACAATGAAACAGTTCTGGAAGACACAATTCAACATCCTGGAAGTTGTAAAATTTATTGTATCATCATGGCAAGAAGTCTCCACTAGATCCCTCAATTCTTCATGGAAAGCACTGTGGCCATCAGTAGTCTATGATTTTGAGGGATTTGAGGAAGAAACAGAGTTGGACCAGGAGATTGTGTCCATTGGTCAGTCATTGGGCCTTGAAGTGGAAGAGGAGGATGGGGAAGAGCTTGTGATGTCTCATGAGGAGGAACTTACTCCTGATGACTTGAGGCAACTGGATGAGATGTTAGAGGCTGACATTGGTGAGGAGAAAATTGAAAGTGATGACCATATGTCAGCTAAACAGTTGAAAGATGTGATTTACTACTGGGAGAAGTTCAGGGAACTGGCTTCAAAGCACCCAGAAGTGGAAAAAACTGAACTAACTTTGTGTCATGTTGAGAACTCAGTGGTCTCCTTCTTTAAACATAAGTTAATGGTGAGAAGGAGAGATGCCCCACAAACCACAATTGACACTTTCTTCAGTAAAAGGCAGAGGGAACAAGATGCTATCCCTCAGCCTTCCACTTCAAGAAGGAGAGAGGATGTTCATGGTGGAGAATCTGTCAGTCCAGAGGTTCCTGACATTTTCATGGAAGGTGACTCACAATCCAAGAAGCAGTAAAATGCTTCTCCTCCACCTCCACTTCCTTCTCTTCTCCCTTCTCCTCCTCCACCTCCCACTTCAAATTCACATCATCATCATCCAGGAGCCTTCTACATACACACCTCAAGGTAAGTGTCCATTTCTAAAATTTTTGTTGACTTTAGGCAATTTTCGGTGAGCTGGAACCAATTACCCAAAAACCCATTGAAACAATGGTTTCGGTTAACAAGATTTTCGGTTAACGAGCAACCTGCCGGAACGGATTGTGCTCATTAAGCGAGGGACCACTGTATTGAAAGTAAAAAATAAAAAAATTATTAATTGTTTCAAATACAGTATTAAAATAAAACCACAGTAAATTATAAAAAAAAGTTATCCAAAGATAAAAATAAAAGACATAGCATTTCACATGTTTATTTGCAAATCTTTCTTTTGAGATTAATCAATAATTGATTAATTAGGATCTTTTAGGCCTAAATATAAGCCCAGCATGACCTACCGAAAGAGAATACGTACGTTCAGCCGCTATTCTCCCTGCAATCCATCACTGGGATAGTGAATGGGCTGAAAGTATATCCATCCAGCACTAACCACGAGTCACTAACCACTATATGTCACCACCCACTATATGTCACCACCCACTATATGTCACCACCCACTTATTCGTAATAATTTAGATTGAATTCTTTTACACAACCTATGATTAGGAGGGTGCTAACCCCCATTGACCTTAATTCATATCAATATTGTCTACATATCACAAGTCATAGCATGTTCTGCGAGACACAAATACCAATGTGTTTGACCGCATGATCTTACGACTAGGCTTGTCGCACCCTGGGGTGTAATATCAAGCTCCTTCATTTGAGGAGTTTGTAGATGATTGTTACCTCCATAGTGACTGAGTTTGACTAAGACTCACCATGAATTATCCTTCTAATTGGGGTATGGATGTGGTGATGTCAGTTTTCAATTCTAATTGATGAGTGGCTGAACTTTTCACACCACGTAACATCTGGCAGGTGTGGGAGGGGTGGGGGCGCGGGGCGCAGTGGTACTTAGTTATTCAAGCAGAATTTTAAATACACTCAGTCTCACACATATGTATAGATACAGGCTTTATATCTAAGATGGAATTATGTAAAGCAGTTTAGAATTACAGCCTCTTTGAAATTCATTTTGGGTACAAATACAGTACAGTAAACCCTCTGTTTGGCAAATTCGAAGTTAGCGGTCAAAATTCAAAGTACCCTGCACTCCATTTTGGCGACTAAACCCTCACCTTTGGCGAGAGTTTAAATTTAAATGCAATCACAACTACTAATTGTAGAATAATAAGTGCAAGATAAATCTCTCTTAAAACTACTGGTGAGTATTATTGGCGAGTCTTTACTGAATGCAAAGCACCAGTCAGCTGTTTAGGCGGCCATTATGACCTTGTCAATCCACATTCCCGCTGTTTGTTTGACTTTGGCCTTTGTGTAATTTTTTTTTATTCACTCTCGCTTGGCGCTGTGTTCTCGTGCGGATTAATGGCCTCAAAAGTACCTGGGGTAATTGGTGGGGATAATAGTGGTGGTGAAAAACCGTCTGAGCACCCAGTCGGTTGAACCGGTTGGTTAATTCCAAGTTAACCAGGTTGGTTCACATATTTATTATATTAGGCTTTAGTAACGAAACCCAATTGAAGTTTCTTCTTTCATTAAAAAGTATTACAGCTAGACCCCGACTTACGATGGGGTTAGGGACCCAAATCCAGGTAGAAAGTCCGACATGGTCGTAAGTCCGACATAGATAAATATATAAAAAAATTAAAAAAATTAAAAAAAAATAATTCAAAAATTGTTTTTTCAAAAAAAATAATAAAAAATCTACAATGAAATACAGTACACTAAACATAATAAATAATGAGGAATGGGTACAGTACAGTAAAAGTAATAAATAATGAGAAATGGATACAGTGTGACTGAGCACTTACCTTAAATGTAGTCAGCTGAGTGCACACAGGGCCCCCATAATTTTCTATTTACAGGATACATAGAGACTACTATATTAATTGGAAGAAGCAGAAGAGGAGACAGGGCTGGGTGGGTCATCAATGTCGCTTTCTTCAGACAGGTTTATGTGCTGTGAAAACTTGCTGGTTGAAGGTATTGGATCATCTTGAAGGAGTGAAGAGGCAGCACTGGGGTACTTCTTGAAATAGATGTCCAATTTAGACTGCACAGTTTGCTTTTTCTTTTAATTTTAAATTTCTCTGTAGCAAGCAAGTGCATCTTGGATCGTTCTGTCAACTTTGGCATAACGCTCA